AGTGCACAAGACCATTAATGATCATTTGATACCTCTCCACACTCTCTTTGGTCAGCGCCAAAACAGTATTGAAGTTTGATACCCAGCCATACCCAACACAGCCACAACAGGAAAACACATACAAGCAAACACCTGTACATCAGCCCACATCTGTGCTTACTCATTACACATGGAAATAATTTTCCTGCAATATTATCTTGACTCTTGCTCTACCAACACAAACTTTTAAAAGGCCAAGAAATGCTCTAAGCATCTCACTCATTTGAAATATGAGACATTTCTTTTGTGTGTGAGATTGAGTGTGAATAAACAGGTAACAGCCTGTCTGCTGGCCTGATCGATGCCTATTATGGAATATTTGGGCTTAAGGCCATTCACAGCAGAGTCCCTAAAGTGCATCAGTGAGTAATTTATTCTTCTGTGACTGTGCGAGCGTGGGTGAAGAACGTTTTGTGTGTACGGTCATTCATATATGTAGGCCTATACAGTATGTGTGTACATACTTTTATCCATGTGTGCTTTTGTACGACGCAGTAGGCAGAGTTGGTAGCGTATTGATTCCAGCTGATACCGCGGGCTCTCCCGTCGATCGGCAAAATGTCTCCAGCTCACTGCTGAGTCTGAGCCAAGCTCTTACTTCATTGCCCCATAGCATCAGAGCATTATCTGAATTAGCAGGAGACGCAGGCTAAGAGGATCTGTCGATATTTCTGCAAGGGTTATGTCACTGTGACTATACAACAATTACATGAGGAGAGCTGCTTCGAATGAGTGCGTCTGCTCCAAGTGTCTTTTTCTTTTCTCACTTTCTTGCCTCTCTCTTTCCCTCACTGGAAAAAAACCCTCAATTTTAACAAGCCACTCAGTGTCTTTAAAAGGCTTAATAATGAGCAATGTCAAACTCAAAGTGAAAACGAAAAATGATAATGTCACTCGTTGGCAAATTGCCTGTTTCAGTTTTTCCCGAAAGAGGTAACAACATCTTTAAACTAGTCGTACACTTAAAGTGTTTGAGGCATGCTGATCTGCATTGGAAATTAGCTAAATTAACTTATCCCCATTGCAGATTTTTGCACTAATTTATATAAGATACACTCAAACACAAGATTTTGGACTCTTGGAAGATTAAATGACCTGATAAGAAACATGTATCTCTTGTCTGATGAACAATCACTCATTCGTAGTCATTGTCTCCTCAGTGAAATTTCTCACTCTAACACCCCCCTACACGCACAGAGGGAAACTTTTAAAAAGTTGTAACCATGGTGATACTGTACACTGCCCACTGTGTCCACTTACTAAAACAATGAAATATGCAAAAACACACAACATATATGTGCTCACACAAACATGTAAGCGCGCGCACACAAACACACACACACACACATAAAGGGTTAGGGTTTTTTTGAGGGTGGGGTGGGGTGGGGTGATATTCGGCTATATAAATAAAATTGAATTGACACACACTTGGCTGTAACCATGGCATTCCAGCTTTACCTCAGGTTGGAGGTGGGAGGACAGCCACCAAACCCCCCCCGGGGCCCGAGGAGCTGGGTGAGTCAGACATTAGCAAACTCTGCCACGCATGTTCATATATTCTGCTGGAAGATGACATGATCTCTCTGTTACTAAAGAGATGGTACTAAAACCCTCTGGAGATACATTAAATACAGTATCTGAGAGAGTTGTGCTGGGTAGGAAACTGTTTCTGTCCACTTCTCTTAGACTAGTACTGTAGTAAGTAAAAGTAATAAAGTTTGTTTTTTGAATAGCACCAGCATTAGTGCAATGAATGCCATTTCTACTGTGAAAAACAATGCCAAAATATACTGTATTATGACTCTTAAAGGTTCACTGTGTAGTATTAAGAAGGATCTATTGACAGAAGTGCAATATATTATACATAACTATGTTTTCAGTGGTGTATAAAGAGCTTACATAATGAACCGTTATGTTTTTATTACCTTAGAAAGAGACATTTCTATCTACATACACCGTGCGTCCCCTAAAATGGAAGGTTATACAGTAGCCCAAATGGACAAACTACTCTAATGAGCTTGTTCTGTCACTATGTTAAATTACGTACGAAGAAGAAAAAAGAAGAAGTAGTAGTACTAGTAGTACTAGTTGTCATCTAGTTTATTGGAAGTAAGAAGAGAAGTGAAAATAAATATTATTTAGCACAAGTGCTGACAGAGCTTGTCGACCACCATAGCTTCTCCTACACGTTTGGAAAGGTAAGGGTGAGGGGTGACTAATCCATTGGTTGCAATTCGCAACCCTCACTACTAGAGGCCACTAAAACCTACACACTGAAACTAAGTTAAATTTAAATTAAAACACTGAGATTTGATTTAGGGCTTAATTGTACAGCACTCTTATTCAAATCGGCTACTGGAAATCGAAAGGAAGGATGGATCTATGTTGTCTTTTTTTAAGTCAATTCCGTGTAATGTGTCAAAGATACAATTTTTAACACTTCAAATACTGTCTCAATGGGATTTGTCAGGATTGTGTTAAGTTTAATGACAATGCCAAAATTAACTGCAATTACACATGGTGCAAAAATGTGATCACAATCTGACCAGTAGGCTAGCGTTTGAGACAAGTTTAAGAGATAAAAAAAACAACAATATACCAACACTGCAGAAATCAACACAGCAATAACAAAAACATTTTATGGAATGTTCACTTTCTATTTCATTCATTTCAGTAGTCTGTAGTAGTTGAATATCTGTCCAAGACCTGAGAAGGAACACGTTTTTCTAGATCTATTTGGCAATGACGGCTTCAGGGGTGTACGCTGTCAACTGTTCAATGCAACAGCCTTTTGTTTGTATCCATTCTTCTCTCTATCCTAAGCATCTAAACATGTAAGCAACGTCTTCATGGTAAAAGCCATCATTGTCAGCACATGTAAGATGTGACCTATTTAATTTGACAGACGGGACACATTTAATTGGATTCCCTTACAGGGGGCAACTGAGAACATGTGGCTGACCTGTGAAGCACACAGCCTGTAGCCTACTGTGGGTCACCAGTCTGGCAGAACATTTTCTAAATTTTTTGCCCTGCTCATACGCAGAGAGGAAAATCCTCCCCGAATGAAAGAGAAAGACCTCTTTCAAAGGCGGTTAAATACACACCATCCTTGTCCCCTGCTTTCTCTGTCTCTTTCCATCACTTCAGATAACACACACCCACACACACTCGTATGTCCACACACCAGAACTGAATGTGATGATTTTAAAGGGGCTATATGTTTTAATTTTTGTTAAAAACATTAAAAATAATTATCAACAGAATGTAGAGAAATCTTTCAGTTTTGACGTTATGTCAGAGACGTCTGTGTATTGTGTTGTAGAGATATCAACTGAAGTTAGCATGCTAACCAGCTAGCCCCGGCCTGTCCTGTCTCATAATACCACTATGTACCTCAAGAGGCAACAGTGAGTCACTGCAGCGTACAGTCTGCCCCCAGTCCAACACGAGAGGATGAACAAGTACCGCTGCCCTGAGGGCAAGAAACCATGTTGGTGGCAAAGAAATTTATTATTTTAAATTTATCACTTATAAGTGAAATACTGTGGTGTATAACATATGTGCATTTGACCATTACAGTTTAAAATAATACTCTAGCAGCTGGAGAGAGGCTCAGTGAACTCTTAAGGGGGAGTAATGATTGATGGGTGTGTAAAGAGTGAACCCTCCTATGGAATTTGACCTCTGACCCAGTGTTAGGGGGAGTAGAGAGTAGTGTGTATGAAGGAACTGAACCCTTCTATGGTGTCTAACAGATGTTTACACTTATCCTACAGCACTGTGCCCTTATATGGTATTTAGCAGATACCTAAACATGTCCTATATAAGCTGTGTTTGATGTACAGAGAGACAGAGTGGTTATCGGGCTGGGTCACTCTCCAAGCTGCTGCAGAGCTTGTAATTGATGCTGAATTCCTTGATGTAATAAACTTTTATGATCAAGAACAGTGTCAAGCGGATTTCTTCTCAACACATCATCGCAGCATTATTGTTCGGACACCACAATACAAAATGAGTGTTAACAATGGCGCTGCTTTCCACCGCTGGAGATAGCTCTTAGCGAGGAAAGGGATGAAGTTTGATGCTGAACTGGTAATGTTTCTTCTACACTGGTGAGTAAACAGCTGTTAATTATAAGGTTACAGTGATAGATACAGGATGTTCCTCAGCTTTAATATGTACGCTAAGTTAGCTATTTGTTGAAAGAAAGAAAGACTTATGGACAGAGTGTGCATTTCCTTGTTTCTTACAGTAGGGGTGGATGCCCTAACTTACTGGTGATATGCTGCCTCCTCCCCAATATGTTTGGAGAATGATTTTGACAATTCTTGTAGCTCCTTTAAGGCTATTTTAACAACAACAAGACTGTCAGCTGTCATCAAATACTGGAAATAAATTTCCTATGGTATCACTATGTTTTATCTGTATGGTCCTATCCCACTGTCAGCATGCTAATCCGTGTAACACCTTTCAGTAACGTTAAACTATGTCTCTGGTACTAAAAGTGACTTCGACCTGACCTTACTGCGGTGTTCCCAGTTACATTAATAACAGACATTACATAGCTACACCTTTGCTGTTAATAGTTATGTGTATGTTATCATTATGGAATTGTTATTATAGTTCGTTTTAACAGCGTTTAAGTGGAGTAAAAGTGGCAACCTGGCATCACACTTCTCTAATGTAGCTAACGTTAACGTTCCCGCTTTTAATGGTCTGTCCAGTAACGTTACAGTTGTACTGAGGCAATTAATTACGTTTACTCGCCAAAACTGGTGTAAATGTAACAATTTCCACGCTATGCTATGGGCAGTAGTCGTTATAATATAACTTACGCTTGACTAAACTATACTGAAAACTTGTACGGAGTTGAAATACAAGTGGCTACGGTGTTTTTCCGTAACCCTGTTAGACTAAAACCAGGTTACACACACACACACACACACACATTCCCCTACCTGCAGGACACTGTGATTTCAACTTTGGTGGCAGGAATGGACGGGTTGAGCGGGTCGAAGTCGCCTATCGACGCCATGTTCGGGAAACTGTTGTTCATCCTGTCAAAAATTGTTTTGATTTTCCTTTTTCCGTGTGGTCCTCCGGCACCAATGTATGCGCGACGAAGGAGGACAGCGACGAAACTGTGTGCGCCTCCTCAGCGAGAAGTGGAGCAAAGGTGCCAGAGAGAGGCTGGAAGATGTGATGTCACTTCTCTCTTTCTCCTCCTCTGCGAGTGAGTTTCTCTCTTTTCCTTCTCCCTTCCCTCCCCCCATGTGCATTTCTGCCATCTCCTTCCCCTCTTTCTGTGTCTGCCCCTCGCTCTTTCAATTCAGTTCAGTTCAGTTGATTTCTGCTCAGTTCATTTCAAATTCAGTGCTGCAGATTTACTGGCATGGAAGTAATGACAATGATACAATCATCAGGAAAATGGAATAAATTTGTCATGAAAACTCTTTCCTGTGTGTGTGTGTGTGTGTGTGTGTGTGTGTGTGTAGGCTTGCACACATTTCCCCTGCCCTCAAAACTCATTCAGTACATTCACATCAGTTCATTTCAGTTTACTTCATTTCAGTTCAATGTGGGTTGTTGGCATGAAACACTCCCCAATCAAGTCAAGTCAATTTTATTTATATAGCCTACTATCATAAAGCTCAAACAGCATATGGCACCTTCTCGCTTAAGACCCTTGACTGGGATAAATAAGGGAAAAGGGGTAAAAAAAACCCAACAAAAAAACAGAGGATATTTTGATTTGCAGAACAAACAACAGCACAACAACAGTGTGTGTGTGTGTGCGTGAGTGCGTGCGTGCAGGCTTGGGCAGTATAGAGTATGTGTTTCAGTCCCTCTGCCACACTTTTCTGGCCTTAACAGTCTGTGAGGAGATTGTATTATTATTATTATTATTATTATTATTGTCATTACTGTTTGTGTAGAAACAGTAATACATCTCCCTCTCTATTTCCACTCTCTCTTCTCTCTATCGCTCTCCCTCTCCATGCTATGAGGATAAGCATCTGATTTAATTAGCTGAAAGGAGACCCTCCGCTGGCAGAGAATAAAATGACAGCATGATGAATGTGAAAAGATAAAGAAGGGATTCACATTATGAGGATATTATGTGTGTGTGTGTGTGTGTGTGTGTGTTTCCAAAAGAGACCTACAGTATATATATATAAAGGTTTAGCTCCAGGTGTGTGTATTTCTGATTCTGATTCTGAGAGAAGAATCATGTATGTGCCATCAAGAGAAATAGCTGATATTGTACTCCTTCGTGTGTGTGTGTGTGTGTGTGTGTGTGTGTGTGTGTGTGCATGCAAGTATGAAAGGGTACACCAGAACACACTCCTCCTCACAAAGTATCCCAAACTGCCCTGCAGGTGAAATACTTGCTGCATATATGTGTGTGTGTGTGTGTGTGTGTGTAGACATTATGTTTAGATGATACAATCATAGGATCTTAAAATGACGCATCTCAGGATTACTCAGTGTGTTTACTGGTGAACCACGTCTCTAAATATAGCCCTGCATTCCACATGTTCACATGCACACACACAGTCACACATGTGCCGACATGCCCTGGGCTGGATGTGTGGCATGGTGGCAAAAACCATTTTGGCACCTATAGGCAAACATAATGCCACCGCCCCATGACCTGGGTGGGGATGGATGGGTTCATACACACACACAGGAGCAACCATTAATGGACACACACTGAGACAAATACACACACAGAGATAGAGGTGGTACAGACAGAAAGACAGAAGCCATTTTTGTGAGCAAACATCACATCATCGCTACCTGACTATACCGACACTGGCTTTATCCCTCTCTGCAGTGCCCCCCAGTGTGTGGATGCTGGTGTCTACAATTTGTTTACATGCAAAACAGGTAACTTACTAACCAAAATTGAGGGCTATATCATACAAATGTGGATCTAAAAGTACCGGCAACTTATAAGCTACAAATATGTGAAATTAGACATTTATAAATGCTACTGTTTTTTTGTAATTAATTAAAGTATCTTCCTTGTATTTTTGCATTACTGTAGAGTGCGCCATGTGGAACATAAGTCCATTCAAAGGCATTTAAAACTCTTTGAACATTTGCACCGCTAAAAAACACTATCATTGTTTTCACTTTAAATACATGCTAATAAAATGTCAAAAAAGAGATTTTTCTGCTGACCAAAACCCCCTTAAAATACAGAATATATGTGCTCATTTGAAAGCCAAATGTTTCCAGAAAAGGATTCTGTGATTATTTTTCTCGTTCAGTAATACATCTTTAAGCAATAAAATCCCAAACCGCCCCAAAATAGCAGCTGTGTAAAAGAAGCCAATCACAAAGCATGCAGATAACTTGCTGCAGTCTTACTTGGCTTGAAGTACTGTGTCCGCTGTCGCGGCCTGGAGAAGAAAAGCTGAACAAGCTTAATCAAGTGCAGGTTTAGCTCCAAGGTTAGCTTTAAGAGATTATGTGTTAAAAAAATGATGTCTTTAAATATGTATGCATTATGTTTTCAAAATGTTTTATGAGCAATTTATTATGGACTCTTTGACATACAACTGTTATTTAATTTGATGTATGAAAGAAATTGTGTTTGAAAAAGTGTAAAAGTGATATTTTTCATTTCATGGACATTTTTATGCATACATTTGACCTCATCTGAAATTTACGGCATGATGAATAGTTATGAAGGCATTTCATCTCGATTGAGACATAGGTTAGCACTGCATTTATTTCTATACAAATTTGGAAACTGCACCATTGAAGTGGTATATACTGGGCATATGCTTGATTTGTTCACATGACAAACATTGTGTGGAATGTATTGCTTGGTGTGGCTGTACATATGCACAGCAGTGTTTTGATATAAAATGAAGTTAATTGGTTAACTTAAGCTCTGGAACAGGGCCACACCTAAACCACACCCCTAATCACCTGACAAGTCTATCTATACCCATGTTATTCAGCCTGCCTCGTTTGTCTCTGATTGCTCAACCCACCCTCCCTTTTCCTTCCCTTCATCCCTTTACCTACTCATCCCCTCATCCCTCGTCCCCTCATCCCTTCATCCCTTCATCCCTTCATCCCTTCCTATTCAACCTGGTGCACACCTCCTCATGTCTCATCTAGGTACGGTCTGGGGGGCCAGTAAATTACTCAGGTGAAACCACTACTGAGACGGAACCCGCAGTCTGAGTCTCCTCTGCTCGCTCATCACACATCCTCCCAGACCAGCCTATCAGACGGCATCCTTCTTCCACCACCATCCTTCCCCTCTACATCCATTTATCTATCCGCACATTCAGAATATTCATTAAGCCTTTAAAATGACATATTGTTGTGGCATGGTCCTTGCTAGTGAATGCTTATGTCAGTATGCTAATGTAGAAATGGGTAACATGCAGATGTTTAGCATGTTCATGATCTTAGTTTAGGGAAGCAGGTATTTGGAATGTGTGTATTAAGAGCATGAATTAATAACTTCACAAAAATTTCATGCCATGCCCAAATTTCCCAGGTAGCTATGATCTCTAATGTGCTCATTTACTCTGCACCACACAGGGTTCAACATGAGAGCTCTCAGGCTTTAATAGTTACTGACACTTAGACACTTGCCACACAACTGATATGACCTGCACTTATATGGAGAGCTTCCTTCTGTCAAATGTATACAAGAGCACACACTAGACCTGCTCACTATGGCTGTCACTATCAGATAAATCTCTCTCTCTCTTATCATCCCTGTCACTCTCTCTTTGCTTAAAAACTCAAACAGATTCAGTAAATGAAACGCAGATGTCATCTCTTCCAGAGCTCTGCCCTCTAATTTCATGCTAAAACGCGTTTACCGGCATATTAAAAATGTTCTTCCCAATCTGTTTTGCTTGATAAGTGGGATAGGCTGAGAGGGGACAAGGTTGATTTCTGTAGCCGCATTAAGAGAGCAAGCAGCAGTATCACGCCTCATCAGTTCTGGTCATAAAGCAGCAGCGATGGTATTTTTAGCTGGAGGATTCACTCTGTGGATGCGCAGAGATAGGAGCCGAGGTGGTGAATATTGACCCTGTCCTCGTGAGCCTCATTGCTGCTCAGATAAACGTCTTCAACTACCACATGGCTGTCTCTTGCCTGTTCTCCTCACACTTTTTCTGTTCCTGCTTTCCTTGTTTCTGTTTCTATCTCAGTCAAGTCTTCCAGTCTTTGGGTTTGTTTCCATATGGCTGTCAAAGACATTAAATGCAATTTAGGTTTGTTTTTTGAAGAAAATAGCTTACTGAATGTCAAAAAATCCAAATAAATGTTGCTGCTAATCTCCATATTTCTTTCATGGTTTCATCCAAAGGTAAAAACAGTAGAATGCATTAAAATTCTCTAATGCACCAACTAATGGCCAAACAGTAATGGGAAAATAACCAGTATTGATTGTAATCCCTCATTAATTACAAAACACCTGCAGCTGTACAAATCACATTATTCAGATGGAGTTAACTGCACACACATAAATGTGTTCGCTAACAGGTTAGAAGGGGATATATTATCTGAACTCATCATAGATTAAGCCACAATTAAATTGAAAGTGGAGCTCTCAACCCACGCTCTGTGTCTGGGAAGTCATTATTAAATTCTGATCTGAACTGGATCATCTGGCTTGTACACTAGAGTGCCAAGAAAGTGAGTATCATTCAGTTCCTGTATACAGTAAACATCCTGTGGAACAGGTAGGACAGAGACTTGGTGCTTGATATAAAATCTATTTTAGGAGGACATGCAAGTGGTCTCCCTAGTAAGAGTTCTGTGATCCAGCAACCTGTCTTGTCATAAGTCTGCATAGTCACTGTGGATGTTGATAGTTTGATAAAAGGCAGACTCATAGACCTATACAAGGTCAAACTGGAGTCCAAAGTTGATTGTACTTCCTGATGCTATGTCACAAAAAGTGCATAGAGTTTCTGGTAAACTTCGTAATCGTTTGAAATCTATAGCATCTGGAGTACGAATAATCCTAGGCTTGATGTTAGAAATAGTCATGTTAAAGCTATAGTTAAATTATTTTTGCGAAATACAATTGTTCATTTCCTTGCTAAGATTAAGATGAAGAAGATCGATAACTGTGCCAAGTTTGTCTGTTAAATATGAAACTAGAGGAAAGGGATGCTGGAATATGATAGTTAAGCTAACCCTCAGTTTACAAATCACAAGACATAGAGATAGACAACTTGTAGATTTACTGGTAGTTACATGCTGGAACTATTTTTTTACGGGGCCAGTAACTCTGCTGGTTGCCTGGCAATGACACGGTGGAAGTTATTGCATCTGGAAAGAAATAATTCTGGCATAATTTGTTTTTTTTTTCTGCTTGTACAGATTAAAAGATAGAGATACAACATGGTAATTAGCAAGCTTTAGATGTGCTAGTAGGTGGATTTTATTTGTCATTGTGCAAAGATCAGCTAACTGGCTGCTGGCTCTAGATTCATATTGAGCATGAGAGTGGTATCTATCTTCTCATCTAATACTCAACGAGAAAGCAAATCACTGTATTTTCCAAAATTTCAAACTTCAGCAAAAGTTTTAGGTCAATGTGGAAAAATGTTGCTTTAGAATGCTTTCAAAAATTGAATCTTTAACAGGTCTATTTTTGAAAGCATTCTTACTTTAAAGCATTTTTCCACACAGGCCAAGACCTTTGCACAGTACTGTATTTCTTTGAAGTTTAACGTTAGACAAAGATCATGGTTAGGTTCGCATGTACTTTTAAACTTTGGAGATATACCAAATATCCAAATAAACCAAATAAGCATTGCTGAACATCCATCTGTCACACAATAATCTCTGTTATTGTAAAATGTTATCATACAATAACCTAACAATGTTAGTTAGCTACCTAGAACATGGTGCAACTAATGTGATCTTCTATTATGTGCATTGGCTTCTATGTAAATCATGTTTGTGTATACAGTAAGGCCAAGATGGACAGCTGATTTCCAAGCTCACAATGGTTTGACATCAATGCAAATAAATCTCAATAAACAGTTCTCTGTCAAAAAAAGCAGAGAAAGGAAACATGTTGAGTTAATCAGGTTGAAAGGTGCACTGTGGAGGTGTGTTACCCAAAGTACTTTAATATAAAGAATAATAGAAAATAATAAAAGTTAAACACAGCACACATAAAGAAATGTGAGGCAGCAATGCTCTGCTCCTGCAAGTCCAATTAACACTCCGCTGCTCTCTGTACAGCTGAACATTAAATATTGATCCTTCCATCACTGTCGGACACACGGGTCACATTCATTTGTGTCTTCAGGGGAGTTTCTTAGCCTTTTTCAACTCTCTGATTCTACTGTGCTGGAGTTAATCATAGGATACAATATTACTGCCTGGGGAGGAATGACAGCTGCACAGTAAGTATGCTTTAGTGAGGATATGTTCTATATAATGTTTACAGTACTCCCATATTCCCCTCTTTAAGCATTTAGAGTAACACTGAGCCCCAAACACAAATAATACAAAATAAGAAAATGTAAAACTGACTGCCTGCAGACTGCAAATGAGCAGACTGCTTAACACAAAGCTCACAAATACAAAAGTTACCAAAATCAAAAATCGAATACAATTGCATAACCAGTATCTCACATCATTATACAGTATCACCACCATGTGGTTATAACACATTAATGCATGGTTAAAAAAGTAAAAAATAAAGACATTACATCTGCAAAAACACTTTTTATTTCAAAATTAATTTTCACACTGCATCTGATATTTTAATCACTTGAAATTGTGCACAAGAGAATCAGCAGGAAGAAAAACAACACTCGTATTTACACAAGATCAGATTTACAGTCAAGTTTCAAAAACAAGATAGAACTACGATTTTTAAGCAGCCTATCTAATTTATTAGGAATACTTACAGCTGACATTGTCTCATTTTGGGAATATTTATTTAGAAATTTTATTTAATTCAGTTCTGTGCATTAAACTATGTTGTAAGACACTAGGGGAAAAGTGAGTTCAAATTGCAAAAATGTTGATATTTCAGTGCAATTATTTTATCGACTCCAGCATTGCCAACAGTGTTTACCTCCAATATCCAAAACAGAGCAAGTCTTTTTCCAGTAACTTAAATGTATACTCATGATACAGTTGATCATGATTAATTGGTAATCTGACCTTGTTAATAAGGAAAAGTGCGCATTTATAGTTACTACCCACAGTTTAGTTTATAGTTAATTACAGGCACTGATAATACATCTGATTATGGAAAATTCCATCCCATATATTCTGTTCAGTCCATTGTCTATGATGCTAAGGTGTCAGAGGCATTAGATGGAAATTTGTTCAAAATCTCTGCTTGATAAGGAAGACACAACAACAAAGTCAAAAATCAATGACAAAATAAATAAATAGTAGCATCTAAACTCAAATATAAAAGACTGAGAGACTAAGACAGCACGGGCAAACAATGGAGAACGGAAAGAAAACATATCACATCATTTGGATTGAATAAACCCCCACATCTTTTAGGAAATAGATGTTCTCACAAAATACACGTCACATCCATTGTATGACCTAGGAATTACAAGGTGCTCGATTCCATGAACATGAATGATTAACATTTGCATTATTCAAATTAGAAACAATAACTCATTAAAGTATCTTCTCCTCAAATGGTTGAAGTACATACAATATGGTACTGGCAAAAGTTTCTGAAAAGCACTTGCTGCCAAAGCCATACTTCAGTGTGGCACAGCTTCGGAAGGTTAAATACTCAGTGGGTAACTTTTCAGCTGAATGATGAAATCCTGGAAGTGAGGAAATGTTTTCTGGAGACCACAAGAGATGCAGGTCAGAGAAGCCAGAGAGGAGCATGCTGACAGGAAAGTAAAACCATTCAGCAGGAAACGAAAACACCACTTAAGGCTACAAATCCTTAAAGAAAACCACTGGGTATCAACTTGAGAATACTGAAACCAGAAACCCAGCTGCCATTTGTGACCACTTACAACACATTACTGACTGGACTATGGAAGCTGTTGTGAAAGTTTGAGAAAAACTTACTATATTGTTTTCAATTTTAATCTGGATGTAATGTATTCGACCTGGGTTTAACAATAAATTACAGATAAAAGTAAAGATTAAAGGTGGGCTAACTCTATGCTGCACTGCAGAGCCAATAGGCAGTAACTATATTGGTCATAACTGAGTTAAGAACACAATCTGTGAGATCTGTTACCATCTATAAAGTCACTATAGCATAGAATGTACAAAATATATTAAATTTGGTACAACAACAGGTAACACCAAACTGCGGACTAAGGCCAGCTGGTGAAAGCTAATTTATTCATTTTCCCCTACCCAGTTCCAGCATTTAAAATCACCTTTGTTTTACCTTCCAACATCTCAGTAGCAGTAGCTAAATCTGATCATAAACGTAACACCAGTTAAACTAGTCCTGCTAAAAGCAAACTAGCCTAGCTTAGCAGAGTAGCAGTAACTGCTGTCTCAGCCTCAGAAACTAAAGGAATTTACATAATTTGATGTGGTCAAGCTACCTTTAGATCATATATTTAAATGTATTAAATCATAGATGAATTCATTTGAATTCAGTCAGTGCTATCAGACAAGAAAGCTAAAGAAAACATGTTTCTTCATGTGCTGTTTTTTAAAAATCAATCTGTTCCTCTGGTTAACTAAGTAGCCTTGAAACTTCAAGCTCATTTACCCCAACTTTACTGTTTCTGTAGTTACTGCTCTCTGCTTTTGTTAGGCTGTATGTTGGAATTTTGTTGTTCAGCCTTAATAACAGTTTTATAGAGACATCATATCAGATTAACAGTTGATTTAATGAATACTGACTTGACACAGACTGAAACACTTGAAAAAATACAGAAATTTGAAGTGGAACACTTTAAAGAACCCTGTCAAAGGAGAGCAGTATGCTTTATTTAGAGGCCACTGATGTTCCACTAGAGGGTTTGGCAGTAACAACTCAAGAATAAGACCATACACAGTTTCAGTAGTTATTTGGTCCTTGGTTACAGAGAACACATATCCGAAATGACCTGGAAAGCAATGACAGGAACACACAACACATCATGTGAACACACAGGACAGACTCACAGTTACTGCTGGTGAGCAGAAGATCTCCATGTCATGTTTCCGTACACAGCAATCTTAGTTTTGATGGACAACAATATGGTGCACAGAAGCAAAGCATTTAACCAAAACCTGTTTTGTTTTTTGTTCTCAGCAACTCTGGCAAAATCTAAAATATGCATAGAAGGTATTCATGTTGTCTAGTGCTGGACTGAGGAGAGGAATGTTAAGAACAGGAGAGACTCCTGGATTGACTGACAAAGCTCCGTAACTCCATATTTTTACTTTATTCTGTCACAGTTATGAAAGCAACGTCCATCGCAGCTGTTGTATAGTCCTTGGAGCTCTTGAGAGACTCTTGGAGACTTTAGAGGCTCCGTTGTGATCAGTCTTGACCTAAAAAATAAAAATCTGTAAATACACTCAGCTTGAAAGAGTGAGAGCCGTCGCATCTAATTAGACTTCCCTGAAACTGATCCCTGTGGAGCTTCAGTGAAGGATCAGTGTTGTTTAAAAGATCATTTTCAGGCTGGGACCACACACTTTCAGGCCCCAGACCCACTTTGGGCTCCCATCCAATGCTTCATCACGTAATAGGTGGTGTAGTTGCTTCACAAATGATTAATTTTGATTGGGCAGAAGCCAGTAGACAGTAGTCTGGGACTATGAGGAATTAAGTGTCAGTGGACTCCATCCTCCAGAGATCCTTTGGCTTCCCAAATCTTCACTGTGCGGTCACTGCATTAAAAACCCCAACAAAAACACATCCACAGGAAAAGGGTTATAATAATCAGTACTGGCTTCAAAATCACACTTCCAGTATGTTTGACGTATCACTACAGATTTAATGAGAGAATGCACAAAAACGAAAATGAGCATGTTTTGTGACTCACTCTGAGGCAGTGAACAGTTGGCTGCTGTTGGTGGCCAGGCCGTTGATGGGACTGTCGTGTCCCCGGACCTCGCCGAGAGGCGCAAGTGAGTCGGCGTGCCAGAGGCGCAGCAGCCCTCCTCTGCATCCGCTGAGCAGCACCGGGGAGCCTGGCACCACGCCCAGAGCGCTAACCCAGTCTGCCTGGGCGCTGACAGACTGCTAGATGAAACAGCAGCGAGTTAATTAGTGCAGACTTTATTCTGTCTCAGATCATACTGTAGTTTTGAACATGTTTTTTCAGCACATATAAATTGGAATCTGGGGGAAAAAGCTTCAGGCTCCTGATCAGTCACTATTATGCTCTGATATCAGCATACCTGTAGTAGTTGTTTACTGGCCAAGTCCCACTTCTTGATGTAGTAGTCTCTGGAGCCACTGTAGAAAACATCTCCCTGCACGGCCAGAGACTCCACACTGTCCTGATGAGTGGGATCAAACGTATGGCAGGAGCTAATGCTACCTTGAGCACCTTCTGCCACCTCAAACATCTGCAAAAACAAACACATATTCCCAAAGATATGTCAGATTCTTGAGTAGCTTATTGCACACACAGAAATGGGAATTTGATACAGTTATGTGTGTGTCTATGTGTCTCTTACCTTAACATGGTGGTCTTTGGAGCCAGTGAGGACAACATCCTGTCCATTACCTAATTTGTCAACAGTCAGACACATGACCGGTCCCAAATGTCCAGTCAGCTTGCCTGTGGACACAAACCTGGAGAAAAAACGGAAAGGAGAAGGAGATGAATTCTGCTCTGTCTGAATGGTTTGTACAACTCTAATCTGTGTTTGAACTTACTTGCGGAGGTCCCACATGCGCACAGCATTGCCAGCAGCAGCATAAAGGAAGGAGCCGGAAGGGTTGAGAGCAATCTGGTTGATCTGACTCTCTCCTGGTGGGATGGATAAACTCCTGACAGAGGAGCAGATGTCCCCTGAACCCACCTGGCCTGATGACCTGACATCCGGAAAAATAAAAAATACATCCTCATAAGGGGCACAACACTTTGACAATATTAAGCTTCAGTTATGGAACAAGGAACTGTGAACTTACGTGAGTGTGCGGATGCATTTGGCAGAGTCTCGTATGTCCCAGACTTTGATGTAAGCAGTGGAAACAGTGAAGACGAGACTGGAAGTGTACCTGAAATATAACAACAAAAACCCCCCATAAAAACAGACAATGGATCAAAAGCAGTACATGTACAACTGCTAAATACTACTGCTATTTGACTTGTAAAATTACTGTATACTAGTACCTGACTGAGACGACGCTGCTGGGATGATCTGCTAGAGACATGATCTCCTGACCCGTCACCAAGTTCCAGACTTTACATGTACGGTCTGAAAACATGCACACAGAGCACATGTTAAGAGAATGGACAAAAAGCTCAAGGTGAGGGTTGATGATGCACCTTAAGGTATTATTTTTTTCCTATGAAAGCAAACAATTTTTTTTTTCAACCTTTGGATCCTGTGAAGAGCAGATCATCTGTGGCGTCTACGCAGAGAACAGGTTTGGTGTGGCCCTCTGCTACGTAGACACACTGGAGTTTGGCCCCACGGCTGTTCTTAGGGGCCGTCACTGGGTTGATCACACCTCTGCAACAACACATGACATGATAGAAGCTGTACCTTGTGACTAGTGCAGTTGATGTGATACATACAAATAACAGGGTTTCAAACAGAGATGCCTTTTAAGTTTCGATTTGAAAAGAAGAGGCCCCGTAGACACCTGTTTCAAAACTTAACAACTTTAGAGACAAATGAAGAGGTGATCATTACCTATGGCCTTCAAATACAGGTGACTCCTCCAATCTGGATAAGAAAACAAAATAAAGCCATTAAAATGTAAAGAATTGTAAAGAAAATAGCACCATGAGTATAAACTGAAAGATATTGTGCATGCAGTACATGTTGCATGCCTTAACAGTTCACATGAAGATATATATAAACTATTTTTGCTATTTGTGGTTTTCAAACTGTTGCTTTGAATGATGATTAACAATCACTGCCTGCACATTTTAAAATCCTTTCATATTCTTTGACTGCCTTCCATGGTGGTCTTGAGTCATAGCACTTACAGAGTCAGAACAGATGGTTCTTCTCACTTACAGTGGTTTGTAGTCAGTGCCTTTACTTTTCACCTCTGCTGTGCAGAGCGGAGGTGTGTGTGTGGGTGCTGGGATGTGCGTGGCCGTGGCTCCTTTCTCTTGCGTTTTCCTGCGGCTGAGGGGCGAGCGCTCCAGGTGCCTCCTCTCAGTCCCTGTTGGCGACCTGGATCCAGAACTACAGACAGTAGTGACAGGAGTCATTTTGTACCTTGCGACCAACACTCTTCAATTTCTTAGTACGGAATGATGAACTCCTCCCCACACCTAAATAAATATATAACATTTCAGAGAGAAATATATTTGAAATGCTGCCTTTAAGACGTACATGCCAGCTGGCCTGGCAGACAGTGCAGACGGGGAAACAGTTTGCTCGCGGTCAGGGGTTTGACCAAGCGCGTGACCCTGCATGTCTGCCGGCCCTTCCAGGCACTCTGAGAGCGGCAGCAGAGGGGCTGAGAAGTCTCCGGTGGGGGATTCACAGGACAGCTCCCCACTGCTGGCATACAGCAGCTCCATCTGGGTGGTGGTCCGCCTGCGAGCCTGAGGGACCAGAATTGTTTGGCTCAATATTCAGCTGACTCACAAGTCAATGGACCAGTTACCGTAATTATGCCAAGTCCTATAAATAACTACTGTGGAAAGGAAAACGTACTTATAGGAAGTAAAAATGTTTATTGTTTTTGACTTTTACTGTTACTACAGCATATCAGGTCTACTGAGAAACGTTTTCACTGAATGTCAGATGCACACTACAGTACCTTGCCTCTCGGCCTGGATTCACCGCATAACTTCAGTAGATCTGATGCCAATGTGCTGAAACAAAGTCAGGGATGTTCAATCAGTTACACCCATTACGCTAACATGCTCAGGTTAAGCAGGTATAATGTTTACCATGTTCATCATTTTAGTTCACAAGTAAGCACAACTAAGACTGATTGATAAGACTGACTGACTTAGTGACATACTGACATTGCATAGCATGGCTAAAAACATTTCCATGGGTGAAATGTAACTGAAAGAAATGTGAAATGTAAAGCAAAATAAAAACATTTTAGCAAGCAATCAGCTGTAATACAGTAGTGCTGCCTCCAACTTTCCACTGTGAATGGAATTTATTATTATTTTTTTTTATTTGGTCATTTTTTGTATTAGGTCTGTCTTTTTATATACCCCTTTGATTCCTTTCTGTACATGTATTAGTTCTATCATCGAGTCTCTTTTATCATGATGTGTTAATTGTCCAAATACAGTAATACTAAAAACTGAACTGTTTAAACCACAATGCTGAACTGAACACGCAGTTTAGAGTACAGACGGATGTTTTTATACTCTCTTCTGTGTCTGTAGCTAACGTGTTTTGCTATGCCGACATCCACTGACACTGCTAAGAAATCCCCATCCCATATAAACGCTAACCGTAAAGCCACGTTGGCCAATAAAATTGTAAACAAAGCAGGCAGTGGCGCACAATCTGACATCATTTTTTTCATAGGGTGCCATTTGGACTTCATAACTTGGGATAAATAAATAGTTGATTTATCTATATTTTAAAATTCTATTATATAAAGTATATATCTAACTTTATGAAAAACATGTTGGTTGAGCTCAGGCACCTTTATTGTATTAAATATAGATATTAACAACATGTGACATGCGGGAAATGTCCACCCTGTTAAGGACTTAGACATAACTGTTTGAAAGTGTTTTCAGGGTATGATTGCTACTAAAATTACATTTTTATAGAAATCATATGTCCCTCACTTTTATTAGATATTTGTTTTACAGTAAATAATTTTAATACAGCATAGGCAAGCCTATAATGAGTAAAACAAGCGCAAATAATGAAAAGGGGATGTGTTTTTCTACTTTTTTTCCTCAAGAAAAGTGAATTATGACAAGAATTACTCAATGTCTCTTGCCTGTGTAGTCAATCCCTTCCATATCTTTATGTAAACATAAATATACACTTAATATTTGCTAATTTCAATAAACTATGAAGGAAAAATACCAACATAACAGGGTGGACAGAGGTCTATTAGCATAACAGGGTGGACAAAACACCAGTATACACTTTAGAGCTAAAGTTAGCCTTTTACCTGCCTGTGTGAGCATTATGGCTAGCATGACCTTCAGTACTAGATGAGGAATCTATAATTTTTCACAAACCGTTTTTGAAATTATTTAATTTGATTGATCTCCTCTAAACATAGGCCTAACATTGTGGACATGTTATGATCAAACACATTAAACTGCATTAATAAAAATGTCAAAAGCAGATAGTAAGAGAGCTAGAAAATCACACAGCTAAATTCCCCTGCACTGGTGTGATGTCACCAGGTCACCTAATGAGAGTAAAGTATCAGTCATACTCATCAAGTTTTCCACTTAAAGGGTTAGTGCAACTCAACAGGGTAGACATAGTCGCTGGGGACAAACATAAAACCTTATTCTTTTTGTACAGTACAGTTCTTTTTGATAAAAACAACATTTAATTAAATAGATTTTGATCAGGAAAATTTGATAATAATTAAATATTTAGAAATACATATGTTTTTGTAAGTGTTTTTTAGATCTAAGTTGAATAATCAACACTGGGGACATGGCAAAATCCCATCGTACCTCTTAAACCAAAGCTTTTAAAATGTAAATAAAACAACTTAGAAGCCAATTTCATAGTAATCATAATTAATAACAATTAACCTTACATAAAAAACCAAATGGAACTAGTATTTGTCCAAATTTACACAAAATACAACATGATTTAGTAGGAGGTTCCAAAAACAGCCAGTGGGCCGGCATGTAGAATAACAAGACAAGAAGAGACATGTCTAAATGGAGTACAGCTGTAATGCTATTAATTACACCTGTGCATTTCTCACTATGACATGACAAAGACCTACTTACTGTACTTGTTTTAAACTGGAAAGAAAAAAAAGGCCTGTGTGTCTGTATTTACCTGCCCTCTGTGGCGGGACTGGGGGTGGACTCGTCACTACTGCTGTCGTCTCCGTTCTCTGTACGCATACACATTAACACACATGAAACATATGATTTCTCTCCTCAGAATATGTGTGTTTTTCCTTAATACCACAGTACATCCGCTAACAGACTGTATTTTCAACAAACCTCGCAGACATCCATTCAGAAAAGCTAAACATTACAGCACAACAATGACTGTGGTTTCAGCAGTTCATAAAAATGTCAGGGGTCTCTGGGTTTAGTTTTAGATAAAGGGGGACATTCGGGTCTCATTAGTGTAATGCCACTGGAAGCTACAGTGTTTGTAAAGGAAGAACGGAGAAAGAATGCGAGAGGCAAAAAGACAGAAACACAGATACAAACTGCTGTTTACACAAGACTTTAGCTCTGAGTCCGGCTGCAGCACGGATTTTTACTGCTATTTATTTTTAGTGACAACAACCAGTGTTAAATGGGACTTGCTAGCAGATGGGGTAACTTAACACAACACGTCATGCACATCATGGCAGAGTTACTTCGACTGGTTAGTTTTTAAAAAAAAGGACTGAGGTTTGATGCACACTACAGGATTTCTTAATCTCGTTTAAAAATATATTCAATAGTCATAATCACATTTAATACATCAAATATAAAAAAGGTCAGAGAGTCACCTCGGGTATATCAATTATCAACAATCAACTTGTCTTGTTATGTTTCAGGTGAAAAAAAAGTCAACAGGGCAAAACGTGCCCAGCATAATTAGCTTTTTTTGGTAAAACAGCCCGAAGAGCTGTATGATGCACTGTTACATTGCTTTATAAAGATTAAATTTATGGGACCAACGTTTGGCAAAACATTATGTTTTAAATTCTTTTCATTTTGTTCCATATTTTCCTGTAGTTGTCTGTGTGTTGATTTTTTTTGGAAGTCTTGTAGTGCGCATGTGCCACGCTCTCTCAAACACAGTCACATTGCTATGCATCTCACACTCACCTGGCGACAGGTAACCTAACTCTGAGTTCACGCCGACACGACAAACAAAGAAAACAAACAAATCAAAATCAAACCCAAAGAGGAGGAAAAGGGCTACTCTTTATTTTACAGGCCTGCTTTCTGTTTCAATGAAACGCTGACATGGTTTCTCTTAATAATTCTCGTAATAAATATTACCATGACAATGTCTCAACTCTGCACACCTGCAAATTAAAACGTAGCCATGTGGTGTAAGAAATTATTAAAAAAGGTGATTGTGATCGGCATGCTCGGACCGGTATCAATTTGTTGGGGTTTCCCACCTTGCAGGGCGCTGCCCAGCAGAGCATCCAGCTCTGGGTTGATCTCCGCTTTCTCCTTCAGCATGTGGAACAGCAGCTGGTTCTGGGTGGCGCTGTTGATCTCTGTCTGCTTCAACCTGCCCTCCATCACCTTCAGCTGGGAATCCTTCTGAGACGCCTGCAGACCCTGACAATGACCACACAGCAGGTTATCACTGAAAATATTTTAAATTGTTTGTATGTCTCAGAAACAGGCAAACCTAATGATGCTCAGTATCATTTTCTTTAGTAGCCTATGTTGTTGTAATTATCTCCACTTCTTTATTTCTTCTTTGCTGCTGGGTTTTTTCATCACTGGACCAATTAAGCCTCATCAAATCTAATCTTATCTAATGTAATTGAAACTTAATTTAATCAAGTTGTTTTATCCATTTAAAGTCTCATTGGATTTAATCGCATCCACCAGTGGCTAAGAAAGCAAGATCAAGATGAGCAGACAGTTGCCAAAACAACCAACAGTATACACCAGCAATCACATTAATGCAGTCCATTTATTTAGAAAGATAGGGTATTAAATAAATAATAAGTGCTTCATGTTTTCTTGAAATTGATCTATGTTGGATTAACATGCTAGGGCTGTGTAACTCAGAATAAATCTTACAGAGATAAAAGTAAAGGGTTTATGTCACGCCCCCCCTGCTGCGACCTAACCGTGACTTCTGATGAGTGTGTGTGTGAGTTTGTTTTTGTTGTCCCCTTGGTGTTGCAGCATTTTCGTTTTGGCCCTTTTCCCTTTCTCTCCCTCATCTGCAGGTTGCCGGGAGGCGTGTCTGTTGCCTGGGGAGCTGATTACACACACCTGCACATGATTTGCACTCCCTCGGGTTCCTGTCCTCTTTAAGTGGCGGCCTGACATCCTGTCCTCGCCGGATCGTTATGTCGTTTTTTCGTACGTCTTGGCTACCAGCTCGCTTAAATTAGATTTGTACCTGTAACTCTGCCCATTTGCCAAACTTGTTACTAACCTGTGTCTCCTGTGTTCAGGAACTCAACCGGACCCGTCGGAAACCAACTCTCCTCCCCTACCTCCTGGACCTCACTCTCCTGCCTGTTTCTCCGCCCTGATCCCAATCAGCTTCCCTCGCCTGTTTGCTCTGCCTGCCCCGGCCTCTGCAGCCGCAACCAGCTCTTTGTTTAATAAATCTCTGAGAACAAGTCCAAGTGTCCAGTCTATTCCTGGGTCTTATCTGAATTGTGACAGTTTATCAGATTAAATAAATTGCTTTCAGAATAATACAGAAATCTGACTTGTCAGTATGTGAACACAAACAAAGATACACTAATTACATTAAGAATTAAATAACAAATAAGTCAGCAAGGGCGGTAGGTACCTTATTGATGGCCATAGTCATGAAATGGTCCAGAAGGAAGCGGGCTTCGGATAAATTACAGGAGCTGATCACCGCGTTAACATCTACTGTGTCTCCTTCCTCCTGTAGCCCAGAATAATAACACATTCAGTAAAGTGGCATTCTAAGAAACTCAGTCATAGGAAAATGCATTACATAGTGTATCTTGTGCAATATTTAAAGGGATTTTGGGAAATACAATTCCTCGCTTTTCAAGAAAAAACTCCACCTCTTCTCTTATGTTTGCACCTGCACTGACCTTTGTTTTGTATTATTAATGACTGAAGGAAAAAAACTTGGAATACACAAGTTTTCCATGTTTTTTTCTCATATATGTACAGCTTTAACCTCAGAGAATATCCAAGTTTTTTTTATATAAATTTACAACTTTAATCTTGAAATTTGGAGTTTTTTCTCAGAATATTACCCCTCACCCCCTCACATATATCTGTGAAAAACTTTTATTCAAAGAGGTCAGTCAAGATAAAATAAATAGTAGTATGTGCAGTAAAATATTATTAACAGGTTTATGTTTTAAAAATTCAAATTTAGAGTAAAATGCAGTTTTTATACATCAGAAACCAACTTGTCTTCTTATGTGGACGTCATGCAACAGTGGAGTGAGATTACATTAAGTTTGATTTCTGTAACCTGCTAGTTTATCTATTCTAATTTTACAAAGATGTGATGAAATCTATTATATTATAACAAAACAGAGACATTTAACAAATATATGAACATAAATAACAATGCAAAAGTGCATATTACAGCATTAAATGGTAACTTTTGACTGCTTTATTACTTTTGCAAGAAATAAGAATATGTATTGTACTCACATAGTGAGTAGGATAGGATGTTGATATGTTAAAACTGAGATGATTCAACATGAAGTTAGATAAGGATAAATACTGGGTTACTTTCCGCATACATGTAACTACATAAATACCACCATGAGTGATTTTCCTCTATTTGTTCCTAAAATATGTATTTTATTGTTAATTTACTAACTATTGAGCTTAAATACATACCATAAGATACATATATATGACATAATATTCCATATTGTCAGTTGTGACATTTTACTCCTTTGTTGCATGGTGTCCATATACGTGGACTGTTAAATAATTTAAAAATAGAACATAATTTTGAAAAAGTGTAAATGGATTTGTATTTTAGTACAATGTTGAATAATAAAACAATCTTAATAATAATAAAATAATAATAAAATCTGCCTACCAGCACCTCTAAAGCTCTACACAAACTAGTTCTTACATATAGATTAGTTTTTACCAAATATTTATGCCAAGCAACTGCCAGGTTTTCTGTAGCTACCTGAACCAACTGACAAGGCTGACCTTAGCTTGCTAATTTTCATTTTCATTTCTCCCATTTAGAGTAAAGAGTAAAATGGGACATGACCTTTGATTAAAATGCTCTTTAATAATAACATACAATATATAGAACACGCAAGTTTTTAAATTGCGTTTCACAAAAACAACACAACATATAAGTTTTTTTGACACGCATATTTCTCCATGTATGTAGAATTATACATAACTACATCTACAAAAGACTGTCAGTTAAGTTTAATATATCATTTCACTTCCTAAAACTACATTATATTCCAGATATTGACGGCATGGTGACTTCCTGTTTACATAGGTGATTGATTTTGATTGGGCAACAGTGCCACGGCTACATGTGTTTCCTAGCAACCATTTTACACATTACTAAAGTTATTAGAGCTATTTCTTAAGCTTTCCCTAGTTTCCTCAACCTTAACAGTTTTCGTGCGTGTGAACAAACATGAGAATCAGGGACTGCCTACACAGGTATTCAACATATCAACTCATGCAACATTGTAACAGTGCTACCAATGCTAACTCTTTAGTGACTGTAGCTCAGGCTTACAGCTGATAAATAATTGCACAGTTTAGCACCAGTGACATCGGCCACCGGATTCTGGATGCCACTTGGACAAACAGGCATCTGAATACACACAGCTAGCTTTAGTACATTTCTGCCATGTTTCACTCTTCCTATCACTGTTATAACTTCTGATTGCTTAATCTTTAAGCTCAAAGTTAACTCATTAAAAACTATTTATGGCACGCCATGAGGGTTTGACAGAGTGAGCGTGGCACGTGAACCAGTGAAGCCATGCAGAACAAATACTCTTCAAATAACACATCCAGTGTGTAAACTGCTGTTCAGTGTGCATCATTAGGCTGCTGGCCCAAAGTTTTTGGCTGTAGTAATGGTTGTTTTGTTTTTTTATTTATTGGAGCCTCTTACTCTGATGCTGATGCTTATTTGACAGAGTGGGGTGCAAAATGTTCGGGAGGCTGAAGGCTACACTCCAGTACAGACATATACTAGCTAATGAGGTAGTGATACACATCATTCTGTTTATAAATGCACATCTACTAAGTATTTTGAAAACTCAAACTATGGCACAATTGCCATAGTAAGAATGTTTCCTTTACCACACCTTCATTTATTAGGCACTACAACGACATATTCCCCACCACCTCACCTTGGCCTCCTCCATCTGCATGATGTTGGCCTGGCAGTCGGCAATGCTGTCGTTGATATAGTCGATGTTGGCGCTCAAAGACTCTAGCTCCTCGTTCATGGAGGCCAGGGAGCGGTCGGCATCTGCGCCCTCCACCGCCGTCTTTTCTCTCTTTCTGGACACTCGCTCCCTCCGCTTGGTCAGCTCCTCCCGTTGCTAAAGTGGTGGCGGACATTAAGGGAGGGGAAATTGAGAAGAGACGGGGAACAAATATAATTTATTGTTCAAACCAGAAAAAAACAACATTTCTTTTCCTCTTGCTTTATTTTTCTGCAACCATCTTTAATCTACTGATGTGACGCCTTACCTTCAGCAGTCTGTTCATATCTGTCTCCATGTTAGAGATGGTCATCCTCTGCATGATGATGTCAGTGACACGTCTCTCCAGTGACTGCCATTTGGCCCTGGCCGTCCTGCTGAGGTATGTGCGTCCCATCCGCACCGGGGAACTCCTGAGGAGAAAGGCGTAGCTCTTTTAGAATTGTTAAAACACACACTCAAACATGTTATACACACTTTAACACTTGTAACGCTGTACCTGGCTCCATTGGATGGGGATGCTCCAGAGGCATGCACCCTCCCTGGGGTGGCTCTATGTGACGGCTCCTGGGGAGGCTCAGGTAAGCTCACTTTCCTGCTCGCCTTCCCAGACACCGGCCTCACCTGCCGCCTAAGAGCTGTCACCTGATCCAGTTCACAAACGAGAGAGAGAGTCATTTAGCATATTAAGGGTGAAACAAAAGTGGATGCAAACTCAGTGATATTGTCCATTCTCTATGTCACTATGTGTGTCTCACCTCTTCATTCTTCCTGCGAAGAATCAGTTCCTGTTGTCTTTTCTGGGCCTCCATCTGCTTCAGTTGATGCTGTAAGAAGAGATTAATATTCAGGAAGAAACATTAAGACTAGAGTAGTAAAGTGAAAGGTTGGTAAACTATGACCTTGAGTTAAGTAGTCATGAATAAACCAAATATATAAACAAATATTCTACTTTTAGAAAAATAGAAATTCATACATTATTTACTTTTGAAACACAATCACCGTTGAACTTATATCAGTTGGCCACCACTTACTACAATAAAGAGGTGTTTAATCAGCCTAAAACCCTGAGTTTAGTTGCATTACCCCGTATATTTTCTTATCTGTAAAATAAACCAAATAAAAGTACTATGACAAATAATATGTAAAAATAAACAAAGAAGAAATGAATATCTCTCTGTGAATGCTTCCATCCCTCTCACCTCCGCTCTGCGCTGGTCTTTCTTCAGAGAGGCGATCTCCCTGTTCCTCCTGCACTCTGTGGCTCGGTTTCTCTCCTGCTGCTCCTTCATCTGACGCATCAGCGCCACCTGGTGGAAAAATACAACACAGCAGGAGCTTATCAGCACTGCAACAAGAGAAGTGTGAACGAGAAAGTGAAAAAAACCCTGTTCCTTTACCTTGGTCTTCTTCATCTCGGTCACGTCCTGCTGGAGTTTCTTGAGCTGCTTCTCGTACTGTGACTGGTTCTTCAGCAGGCGGGCGTGCTCCTTCTGAGCGGACTGGAGCTTCTGCAGCTCTTTGTTCATGGAGCTCAGCTTCCTCTCATACTCCGCCTTGACCTTCTTGGCTTTCTCATCCGTACCCGACTCCATTGAACCTGGAGATGAACAAAAAAACGTGACAGAATATCTTATCTGTATCAATAATAAGTTACGGAAGTCAAGTTTGCATAATGTCTCTTACCCATATTATGCAGCACCTTGTCCCTCTCCAGCTGTGTGTCTTTGATCTTGTTCTGCAGCATCATCAGCTTCTGCTCGTACTGCTGTTTGAGAGTGTGCAAGCGCCGCTGGCTGTTCTCCAGCTCGTCTATCAGCTTCTGCTTGATGGCGATCTCACAGGTGATGTTGGCCAGGTCGGCCTGGACGTTTTCTGCGCACAAACGTATTATTAGATCCTGACGCCTTTTCTGTTTTATTTTATTTTTTATTTTTTTACTGACTATGACATCAGAAAAGAAGTTAGCATGTCTCACTACAGCTAATTTTACCTTTCTCCTCCAGTTCTTCAGAGTCAGACCCATCAGATGTCTCATCTCCCGCCACGTCAAAGTCCTCCTCCTCACCATCTGCATCCTCGCCGTCTTCGTGGTCGCTGCCCTCCTGGCAACATATGAAGTACACACACGAAGAAGATAATAAAAACACACTATCTTCAAACAGGAATCTGACAGCTTGAGTTATTGATTCTCTACCTACCACCTCTGCCTCCTCTGTGCCTCGCTCCTGCTCGTTGTCTGGCATTTCCTCTTTGACAACGCTGAAAGAGGAAAACGAGTGTTAGCCAGCTACCTAATAAGACACAGTTCTTATACTGTAGGTTGGATTTGGAATTAACAACAAGGATGGGTACATGCAAATGATTATACACTTGATCAGATCAGGAGTAGATCAGTGTTGATTTCACTGTGATTACATGGGAGGGGGCAACAGTACTGGGAAAGACAAAATGATTAACTGATCACTAGTAACAGTTATTACCATCCACATTACAAGCCGACTTCATTTTAAGAATGGCACACTACTGAGATTTGTTGACCAAATTCTATTCTTTGAAAATTTATTTTAAAGAGTTTTTCTGCACATTATCACTTTGCACATTTTCTCAACTCCAATTTTCATTTCTTTTTAAAGTTGAGACATTACTTATGATGAGATCTGATCAACATCTTGCAGTGTGCAGTGAAGAGGAAAAAAAGAGAAATAACAAGGGGTTAGGAGGAAGAGGTAAGAGCTGGTTCCCTCCAGGAGTGTAAACCACCTGTAGGTTTAGAAGATGTTAGAGATTAGTGACTTTGGGATCTTAGAAAGGGTCCGGACCCGGGTCAACAATCAACTGAAACCTGTTCAATTACTTGGTGCATTTCAGTCACAGCACAAAATAACTGGACAATGTAATTGAACCGATTTCAGATTTGACCCAATCCTGGATGGGATGTAGCAAACCTGGCATGTTCAACCTCCTGATGGTGATTCTCTTCATATCGCCTTAGTCTTCGGAGAGAAGGACGGGGGGGTTGAGGATGGTGAGGTGTCGAGGCGAGAAGGTAGAGGGGGGCAGACAGGCAGCAGAATTTGGGGAAAGTGAGGAATATTACATGGGAGGGGAAAGACAGAGCGTGAGAGAGCAGCAAGAAAGACCAGGTGAGTGCAGAGACTCTCACAAACACAGCATGTTCAAATGATCCTGATAATGGAGATGTAGATGACAGATTTCACCTAACAACAATTACCAGATCACAAATGAAACCCCTCGTTTCTAATGTGCAGATCTCAAGCTGGCCCTCACAAGTATAGGAAGTGCACAGACGCATACACAAACCCTCACAACAAAAGGATAACTGTGTTACAGCGTGCCAGAACAACCATCATCATTAATAGCTGTCACTACCATCTTGTCTAAATCCAGCCTTCATTCCATTAAAGAAACATCAGGATATAAACTTCTAATGCAGGGAGATAATTACCCACAACACACCAGGCCACGCACCTTGCCATGGCAACAGACAAACATCAAAACTCTCCCTTTTTATTTTCTTTACCACGGTTGTGTCAGGTTGCCTCCAGGGAAATACAACCCTGATTTCTCAAAAACAAAGTGAGCAGGCAAAAACCGAAAGCAACAAATACACACAATGTTTCTATTTTAAAGCAACACATCCCACACTATACCTCCTCTTCTTCTTCTTCTCCTTCTTCTTGAGCTTCTCCAGGTCTTTCTTGGCCATCTCGATGACGTCACTGGCCTCTTTATCGGGGGCGAGGAGGGCGGGGGAGAAGGAGCTGGGGCCGCCGTACAGCGAGGAGCGCGTGGAGGCCCGAGACAAAGTCTTCCTGAGATTCTCGCTCACAGCCTCACTTTCAAGAAGTTTAGCTCTAAATGGGGAGGGGAAGATTACAGTCAAGTGTTATTACTATCACTCAGCATATAACAAATGCTATTACAAGTTCTGTATATAATATTCTGAACATTAATATAGCAGCTAACAAATATTTGCTTTGTAAAGGTATAGTTGAATAATGGCGTCCTGAGCAGAGAATGACTTCTGAGTGGGTTGTCATACGAGCTTCTCTGTTTTTTGTTTTGAAAGCCGGTTTGGCTGTGCATTCATGTGATTCCCTCGCTGTGAAGCTGTTGGCTTTGAGGAGACAGCTGTTTCTTTTCTCATCTAACGCAGTGAACTGAGGGTTTATTTCAACCAAACCAGAGTCTGTGATTGTCGGAATAATGAAAAGACACTTTTGGTGAGTTTCATTGTGTTTCGGTCCAGTTTGAATGAAGTCTGTTTCACAATGAGCTGTGAGTTAAAATGACTGTTTTTCTTATTGCAGTCTGATGGGCTGCAGCACCCGTTTGTTTTGGTCTGAGATACTGTTGCTCTAGTGCGTCATTTAGTGGCAGTGAATGTCGCATACAGCTCCTTTAAACGTTCAACAGATCTTGATGTCAATGAGACTTCCTGATTTAAAAAAAACAAAACTTAATGCTTGTAGACTTTTACTTTTACAATTCTGTGCACAATTACTTATCAGTCAATGGTTGCACTATGTGTGCCTGTGGTTTGGAATGGCTGCTGATGAACTAATAATACTAAAAAATTTAAAATAAAACATTTGGTCACTTTATACCTGAGCTCTTCAATTTCTTTGATGTAGTTATGAATCATGTTCCCGATTTCTTCACTGCCTTCACCTATAAGCAGAGGCATCGCTTTGTTAGATACTGCCATATCTAAAATCAAATAAATACATATAAATATGTTTTGTGCTTTTTCCCCCCTGCTAATATAGTTCCCCACTATGTTAGTACAACAGTCCTGCCCCAGTGCCCACCTGCTTTAGCCAGGGCCTGGTTGGCCTGGTCACTGAGGATCTGTGTGAGTCTGGCTCTCTGGGCGTCAACGGTCTCCTGCATGGCCTTCACTCTCACCCTCAGGTTGTTGTTCTCCGTCTGCAGCATGGAGTTCTCGTGGACCAAGTCGTTCATGCCCTCCATTCCATCTTCACCCACCATGCGCTTCCCCTGGGGATGAGGCAGGACAATTAATATAATGAAATCTTTTAAAACTCATATCTTCCTCACTGATTTTACTTTCTCTATTTATCTTTGATTCCATCTACCAGCCTCTCTCCTTAGCTTCTGCCTTCTTACCGTCTTGTACTCCATCAACTCCATCTGCAGTCGTGCTATCTCCGTCCTCAGGGCGCTGATCTGCTGGCTGGCTCTGTCCTGGTTCACCACCACCTTGTTCTTAATGTTTCGGGCCCTGTTGGCGTACTTCAAAGTGTTCAAGGTCTCCATGAAGTCCCGGTCCGACGGGCTGATACACGCGATCATCACTGTCTGACTGGAGAAGGGACAAATGAAGAGCGCTAATAAATCCCCATTGATCCCCACTCATTTTTAAAATTCAGACAGTGAAGTACATAAAATTTTCGAGGCAGCACTACTGTCCACTGGTTCAAACTTTCTGGTCTGGTCACAGCTCAATCATTGATTTCAAAGCAGGTATGTCAGATTTTGCAGCATCAATATGTATATTTGTGAGCCATTGTCAAAAATATACAGTATGTATAAACATATTCTTGTAAGATTCAGCCAGACATACCTGTTACCGCCTAGTGAGTCTTGTAACAGCCGGGTCAGTTTGGAGTCTCTGTAAGGCACGTGAGTGGATCGCTTACTCCTGTCTCCCAGAGCACTGATGACGTTTCCCAGAGCTAGCTAAGGTAAGACAGGACAGAAAGACAAGCTTGCGATTACTTTAGATATATACATAAATATATGAATAATGGTACTTGTGCTTGTGAAAGAAATTAAGTGTGCGGTTCAAGTTCTGGCCACCTGGGGGCTCTCTTGCTCCACAAAATTACAGGTGAATGTTGTTATGAGCAATTGCAGAATGACAAATAAAGAAAAACATTTTCTGGCAACACAACACTGAAATAGAATGAATCACATCTATAAATACAATACATGACTATGACCTGTGATTGCACTGTGTAATATAAAATGTCCAATGCAGAATCAGCCATGCTCTTAGCTTCCTCACCAGTCCACAGTTGATGGAGATGCCCTCTTTAGCTCTGTCCCCTGTAGCACCAGTTCTCTTCAGTCTCTCAGAACCAGCCAGGTCCACAAAGTGGAACTTGGCTGTCAGCGTCTCAAACTCATTAATCTCGGACTCGTTTGCTAGACGGTTGTCTGTTGTATTATCCTTGAGGTGAAAGGACAGAACAGAAGATATATGAGGGGTGTGCCCTTTTGGGGTACAATTTAAAGTATTAATTGTGCAGCTGATGTTCATCTCAATATAGCAAACCATCACCAAACACTTTCAGTGGCAAGCAGAGACTCGGCGCTGTGTGTTAACGTACATCGTTATCGGGAGAGCAGACTCGCACTTGGCACAGGTGGATGGTGAAGATGGCGTGAGAGCGTGAACTCTGAGCATTCATCTGAGTGCTGGCGGTGGTACGACACAGGGCGCCCAGTTTCAGACACTGCATCATCTGTTGGAGGAGAGGTGAAGGGAAGGGAGGGCGGAAGAGAAGGAAAAAAATACATCACAGATAACATTTTTTCAAAAAATGTTTTGTCAAATTCCATTCTGCTCCACAATATGGAGGCATAAATCTCCTAGACAGATGTCTGGAAACATGCAAATGTAAAATTGTTGCTTGTAAAATAAGGGGAATTTAGTAGTACTGTCGTAGTGATGGTTGAAAACATTGCAGTAGAAACAGTGTGGGTCACAGTTATGATCAGGCCAATCAGGTGCTTCAGTAAGAGAAGTTGTAATTATGCTAGTAACAGGATTTGCTGTGGTCATGTCACACTTTTAAGTAAATACAATGGATATGCTGGACAAATGGTACTGGTGCAGTGACGTTTTGAGGTGTTAACCGCTGACCTCCGCTGCAGAGGTGACTGTGCGAGTGGTGACCCCCACGGTGTAGATGCCTCCGTTGGCGTCCTCGTGGATTTTGACATTGGACCTCTGCTTCCTGGCCTCTATGTCTCGCGTTGAGTCGAACAAGTCCAGCACATCCTCGTTGTACAACTGGAGAGTGCGTTAAATAAAGAACAAACAGGAGACAGGAGATAAATAATACACTTGGATTATTGCATGAATAGTGTATAATAATCAATTATTCGCAGCCTCATCTTCTCCCCTCAGCTGCTTCCTCACCAGCTGTTAGCAGCCACTTGTTGGCAGTTAAAAATAAAGCCAGGAGCTGACCACAGAGGCAGACAAATGACAGTTTAATGGGTGTAGGGTCATCTGGCTGCTTTAACAACTTAAAATCGCTACACCCCCTGCTGACCATTGACCTCTTCCTGTCTGCATGTGATAACTAATGGACCTCAAGTGGACTGGATATTTTGAGTTTAGAGTTTAGACTGAGCGCTGATCACTAGAAAGAAAAACACTATTTCTGGGTGTAAATCCTGTGAAACTGTCAAATTCTTGGTCAGCGTCTGTGTGTTTCTGCACCTCCAGGAACTGTGCGTTGATCTTGAACTCAGGAACAGGCCGGCCCTGCTCGGTGGCAGCCTGTCTGCGCTTCTCGATCCCTCGGAACAGGTGGTTGACGGCCCGGGGAATGATACCCAGCTCGTCCTCTTCGATGTTGACGTCAAAGCCGGTTCCCATGGTGTAGGTCTTCCCCGAACCCGTCTGGAGGTTGGGGGAAAAGAGTTACTTAAAAAAATGGCATTTCTGCTCTCATCACATGTGGTTTAGTGTGTTTCTCTGTGCATTTCATCAATATAAGTGTCTTAGCTGTGTCATTCAACCATTGAGCTGGTCAAGTCTCTAGGGGTGCAGCTCTGACCAGTTTCATTAAAATGAAGGGGGGGGGTCACCACGGTGATAAAAAGAGGAATGCAACATTGCGCTCAAATTCACACGTCACCCCTTTCCTCCCCATCGAAACGCCTAAAAGAGACCCTGTGTGTGTCTGCGTGTATGCGTAGTGATAAGATGAGGGAGTGCGTGTGAGCAAATGTGCGTGTATGAGAAAGATACAGTAGTGTGTGTTTTATTCTATGAGATCACACCTGTGTGGTTTCTATGTGGGCACACACATACACTGTGTTTGTGTGTGTGTGTATGTGTGTGTGTGTGTGTGTGTGTGTGTGTGTGTGTGTGTGTGTTAGGCCTCCACTGTGCCCTGTGAAAGACTCTTCGACAGGAACATAAGTGCTGTAGGAACAATGTGAGGAGAGAATAATGAACAGACAGAAGAAGAGTCGAGGGAAATATCAAGAGGAGGGAAAGTTTAACTGCTGTTGTTCAGCTAGCGAGCGCAAGCTGCAGCCAGAGACGCTGTGTGAGGGAGAAACGGGAAGCTAAAAAACCCTCAGTGGGAACACAACAGTTTTAAAGAGCCAAAAGAGTTTTTATGGTTAGGAGAGAAATATTTCTCAAAAAGGATCACTTGGTGAGGTAACAGCGTGAGGGAGGGAAAGACAAATAAAAGTGTTGTTTGCCAACTTCTGTACTAATAGATTATTAAAGAAATACTTCAATAATTTGGGATATACGCTTATCTGTCTACTTACAGAGAGTTAGATGATTAGATGATTGATATCACTCTCATGCCAGGCCATTGAAAACAGCAGCCGGTTAGCTTAGCTAAGGGTGAAGACAATGGCAAGGTAATGGGGGAAACAGCTAGCCATTGTACAGACAAGAGAATGGCAAGAAAGCAAATAAGGGTATTTCCCAAAATGTCCAACTCCTTTAAACTTTGAAGCTGTCAGTGAGTAATGTTTCATCTGTTTAATGTGCCTTGATGTTTTGACTTTGCAGTTTATAGTTCCCTGCTCTGGTATGAGGAGAAGGCATCTGTTCACACTCCGCTTTGATTGGGCAATAAACTCCATTTCTATCACTCCCTCCCAGGCTAATTTATCAGAGCCAATATGAAGCTGTGGTGGTGATAGCGGGTTGGAACATGTCAGCTGATAAAGTGTATTGACAGAGCAGGCGCAGCTGTGAGGGCCTGTTCACTCCCTTATTGCTCATCTGATGATATGAAATGAAATCAGCTTCATATCACATGCCGCCATAAATCTTGGGATGCTGAAAGCAGCTCCCTCCCCTTGAGCCATGCAAAGTGGAAACGCCAGCCAATGTGAAAGTGTGAGTGTATGTGCACCACACCGCTGTGCTGATGCAGTGGCATGCAAGAGAAAAGCTGACCAACCTGTCCATATGCAAAGATAGTGGCGTTGTAGCCCTCAAAGCAGCCTTCAATGAGTTTCTCAGTGCAGTGGGTGTAGATGGCTTCTTGCTGGCTGTCCATGTCAAAGACATGGTCGTAGGTGAAGGCCTTGTCCTTACCCAAGAACACCTGTGGCTCCCCGGGCATCACATAGGTGCAGATGTGACAGCCCTCGATCTTCTCTTTGGCCAGCTGAGGACGGATCCTGGTAGACAGAAACAGACAAACACAGTGAGATTTTTAACTGGACAAACATAATGCTGGATTTCTTCCTTACTTTCAGCTCCTTAGCGATAGCATTTCTTTACATTAAACCTAAAAATCTAACTTCCAACTTCAAAGGTACATGCTAACATGCTCATGATCAGTATTAACAATTTATTTTCATATACTGACATTGTCATCCTCATCGACAAGCCATGAACAGCCAGGAACATTTCCAAGACCAATTGTAAAAACTTTTTAAGCCTCAGTTAAACTTTTTAAATTCACAAACTTTCCAGATTTTCAAGGGCCTTGGCAACTCTTCTCTGTGGATGTTTGTTAATGTGTGTGTAAAGAAGACAGAGGCAGAGCGGAGCTGTCTGTGCATGCATCTAAAGCCTGATCAAGAATTTGTCTGATGTTCAAAAACCATAATTGATTATTACAAGTTTGATGGTAAAAATGTAGCTGAGCTGAAGACAGGTAATATTTTCACAAGCAGATGAGTGCTGTGTGTGTGTGTGCGTGTGTGCGCGCGCGTGTGCGTGCATCGGAACGCGCAGTGCCAGCACACTCTCCAGCAGGCATAGTACAGTGCCCTCACTGTTCACGAGGAAGAGAGAGAGCTCTGGGTAAACAGTCCCGCCCTGGATTTCATTAAGGAATTGCTCTGTTTGCCTTAGTGCAAATAAACACACTGTTATTACATCATTTCCTCCCTTGATGCACCTCTGCCACTCGTCACTGAACTCACTGTCCATCTGAAGAGGAAGTGGAAATATTGGAGGCATACCAAGGAAATATTTGGACACATTGGGAGCATTAAAATATCAGAAATACTTGAAGCTTTGACAGAAAAATATAAGATTATTCACAGCAAAGGATATGACTGAATAATATTGGACATGTATTTGAAAAGAAAAAGGAATTTCCTGCTGCAGTCCAAATGAACCCAGATAAATGAGACACCTGAGAATCCCAGAACAGTCATAAATGGCTGCTATTGTTGCTGGCAGGCATTAACTCTTGAGTGTGTCTGGCAGTATGTGTGTGTAAGGATGTGGCACTTTGCATGCAGTTTGTGTTCTGTGTGCAACACTCGAGTGTTCAGTTTTTGTGTGTGCTTACACTGAGAAAAGACTCTCACATTCATCACAGCAAGAGTCTATAGAACTTCTGAATAGCCTGAAAGGACAGTCAGTGTTTGTATGAGGAGAGAGGGGGAGGGGGGGGGGGAGGGGGTAGAGAGGAAAAGCAGGTAAGAATGAAAAGGAAAGTTAAGCTACAGTAGGACAGTAGCAAACATCCTCAGGTGTGGCATTGTTGTGTGTGTGTGTGTGTGTGTGTGTGTGTGACATCAGAACCCTGATGAGTAAAGAGGACAGAGCCAGGGAGGGGCCAAGGGACCCAGGCTTGAAGAGAGACACAGTGTCCTAGCTGCAGTAACTTTACACCAGTAAAGCATTATTACTGTCAGCGTACTGTCAGTGAATGATATATGTGATGTCAGCAATGTCTTTCAGCGAGGTAATTTTGGTTTGTGATTATGTATTGCGTTTAAAGCTTTGACATCAGGATTTTCTGCTTCTTTGTCATGCTACGGTACACTCCATTTATTATTATTCCAATACTAGAAAAAATATTTTGGCATTCACCTGGAAAAGCTCCTGTTGACTAGCAAATCACATAAAAAACCAGGGGCAGCAGCGTGTGATGCTGCTCATTATTTCATATTTTTAAATTGCATATCCATTGCATTGCTGTCTATGAAAAATGATAAACATAATTTAGAGAAAACAGGCAGAATAGAACAGAAATATATACCTGTTTAATCTTTCATCTGACCGCCATGTGTCACAATATATATTTGTATATACTGTGATTCACATTTTTTTTTTTTTGAAAACTTATATTAACTGGAAATTAATGTAGGTAAGTAAATTACTGAAATTGCAATTGTATTAAATGTTTGATAAACTAAGAATGAGGTGGGAAAGATTTCTACTGGGGAAAAACAGATAGCATTTATCTTAAGTTTAAAATCTGTCCATTGTGGGCCAATGTGTTTCAGTATGTATGAGTGGATTATTTGACATCACACGAATAGCTGTATAATATTATAATTGAGCAGAATTTTAACATATGAAATGCCAAGATATAAACAAAACCTTTCTTTTCAAAACCTTTTTATCTACTCAATTGAGTAATTACAATTTTGAGGTAGCCAACACTTGCGTATTTACACATCCAGCAAACACAGAGCAATGTTAGCATTTATTTGGAGTCACCACTGTGCTTCTCTTATCCTTGTTTAGGTCTCCACCAACTCCTGTGTAAAATATCTGCTAAATATTGGTTGCTAAATGGTTCACTATGTTTACTAGCTAGTTGCTAACTTTGTTTTCTCTGTTGTTTGGTGCTGGGCAGGCATTGCACAGTGGGCTTATCAGATACTTTTTTGCTAACAACACCTAACTGCTGCATCTGGAAATGATGATGAAAGCAGTGAGAGTGAACCAAAACAGTAAAGTTGTGGGCTGTTAAACCCAAACAGTGAGTTCAAAGATTAAACGATGCTAAAATGGGTCGGGTTATAATTCTCTTAAGGTTTGTCATTATGAGTCCCCTTTCACATTAGTAATTTGACTCAATGTAAAAATGAAAATATGAAGTAGTGCAGCTTTAAGTTTATACCAGTGACGATTAAACTGTACATAACTGTTGCATTGCAATTGTATTAGGTGAAACTGACATAACAGTCAGAGTGTTTAGGTCATCTGAGGAGGCTGTGATTTAATGGTAGGTTGGTTAAGGGCATTACAAGAGTGAATCTGCATTAATCCTTTTGGCCACCTTCCCAAGGCTTGTCAGAGAGCCTTTACTGTAATTCACTATAACAACAGAGGTACTCACTGCTGCTTACACCAAGGGCTTTAAGTCACTGGCTTATTGTTCACTTCGGCAAACTTAAAAGAATTGTAACGACATATGGACTTCAACTTGATAAGTCAAATGTAGATCATTTCAAATTAAGTATAGTATCATGATATAAGTCAGTAGTTGCTTATTTTATAAGGGAACTACGTAGTCTTATTACTGTAGCCCCATTTTGAATAAATGCCCAGTCTTTCTGATTGTGCTCATCTCCACAGTGTGATGCAATGTTTGCTTTGTGTAGTTTTACGACATCCCCGGGGTCCTCCATACATAGAGAAACCAAGGGTGGATTGAAGAAAATGTTAGAGAGATAGAAGAGAAAGAAAAAGGGTAAAAAAACACAATGGTGCAACCCAGACAAAATTCTGACGACAACCTCCCTAATAGGAGGCCACCACAGTCTATGCAGTCAGACCTATTATCTGTCTGAGTAATGATGGTCTTTCCCATAACGAGACCATCAGACTGAATTGATTCAGCCTTTAGAAACTCTGCTCTTTTTACCTCACTGATTTCTTGGCTCTTCAAGGTACATTAATGCACTCTAAAAAATTAGACCTTGGGGAAGATTTAAATCTTCTACCCCATGTCAACCCAATCGCAACAATTCTGAAAATCCCACATTACTTTTTATGACAATATATTTTTTTCTCCAGTAATTATTCCTCCAATATCTTTACTGTATTGTTAAGGTACTGAGGCTCTACTTATGCCAGAGCGATGTTTTCACCTAAATGCTAACCTCTGCATGCTAATATGGTTACAACAAGCACCCATGAATGGCGCTGGGCTGTGAAGCGATTTTGGCATTTAGGCACAGGGTATTGCAATTTCTGTGCATAACTCGATGCCAAGGATTTTGTGGTGTATGAGATAGTGAGCAACTTCATTAGTTATGGCTGGGGTGCTGTCTTTAAACACTAATACATCCATGGCTCATTATGACACGGTTAACATAGTGATGTTTTTACCATCTACTGTGTTAGCATGCTAAAATTAGTAAGCACTAAACAAAAAACTTGTACAGATCAAACAAACAAGATATAATGTGTTATTTAGTGAGTTTTAGGGTAGCTGATAGGTGGATTTTTTTACCTTTGGACGGGGCCAGGCTAGCAGTTTCTGCCAGTTTCCGGCGTTTATGCTAAATTAAGCAGGCTATTTGTCAAATACTTACAGACATGAGAGTGGTATTGATCTTCTAATCTCACTCTAGGCAGGAAAGTGAACTATTGAACTGTTCCTTAAAAATATTGTTTAGTTTAGACAACTAAAACACTTGACTGAATTCAATGAAAGTCAAAATAAATTAATTCTAAAAACATATAGTACATTTAATATAGCTTTGTGAAATGGTAAATGGGCTTATGGTATTTGTATTTAATGGGTTAAAATCTACAAAATTACTGTCTCTAGACAATTGGTTTAATCAATGTTGTGCATCATTAGATTTCTGATGGTGGGTAACATCTCAAATAATTTGAGTATTTTTTGGATGTGTATGTATCACAACTAATACAAGTTCTGGCATCACACATGTCAACTAACTGTAAACAGGTGAGGGATAAGCTTAGTGTGAAGCATGTCCTGCTGGTGTATTATTAGTACGACTGACTTTAGCTGTGATTATGATCTGGCAGGCTTCATTCTGTGGTTCAACCCAAAACACTCTTTTCTCCTGGTTGAATAAGGGCTGCCCTTCAGCCCTGTGGAGACTTACAGCGCTAATCCACCTTCTAGAGTGACACACGCAGGCTCCTCACAGGCTGTTTCTTCAGGAAATTTAACTCCACACTTCCTAAATGTGAACAATCGCACACTCATAGAGAAACATGCCTCAACACTTTCATACTCTTGTACATACAGTTTCACTGTTTTGGGGAGTTGTTACCAAATGTACATTGTGAAGCAGCTTGATGTGTGAGTGTAAGAAAAGAGCCATCTGATTGGCTGGACCATAGGCCAACAGTATTTATATACTATACTTTACAGACATCTGAAGAACATGATATTAGTTCATCACTTTACCTACATCTAAGAACATGACATGAGAAAAGCGAATAC